AGATCTGAAATTTTAATTTATCCCACAAACATTGACGTCATCGTGATTCACGATGTGCCACGGCTACAATCTAACATTTATGAAAACAAATTGCCGAGATATGAAAGATTATTCATCATATAGACGTAGCCGTTGCTGCTTTACTTAACAACGCGTGTCCTTCGGGCTGTCAATTAACTTGTTTTTCCTACCATACCAAATTCATTTTCGTACCACAGCGCAGCGCAACGCACACACATATACAAAGTGCTATCATATTAAGTTTTGACAATTTGTAGACGTAGACATGATTGAGAGACCATCTGGCGCGCGCGTTTGCCTCTCGTTAGCCATAATCATCAAGTCCTCTGTTTGCCGCGCGTAATTCTCATCGCTTCGCTTTGTATCAGAATGTGCTAATCAAACTTCAGGCCATTTCCGCTTGAAATTCATTAATGACTTCGGAACGAAGACGAAATAAAAAGGAGAGAAAACCAAACGATACACGGTGGTCGACCAACCGTTAGAATCGTATGTTTCGTGTCGAAAACTTTTTCAACTCCCATGCAATTGGACATGGCTGCGGTTGTAATGTCGACGCTTGTTTGCTTTTATTTTTCTCTGCACATGAAGAGGAACCAAACGAATGAAAAAAAAGAGACTGGAACGGCCTAGTCGATGTAATAAGTGTTGTTATTTGAACGAATAACCGTAATAAATAACGTTTAATCGGAGTTTTGCGATAATTATCATTTTATTCGATAATCAATTTTGTTTTGTCGACATGATATTTCGCCATTTCACATGCACACACACACCACCAGCATTACAAGCGTTTGTTTCATCTTGGTTTGGAATGAGGCAAGGGCACACGCACTTGAAACTTTGGTGGTTAAGAACCTTATTTCGGCTGCAAATTGTCTACTTTAGTGACCAATTGTCGAAAGCGAGGGAATGGTCTGGCAATTTTCTCTCAATCTTCGTCTATTCGCGTCACTCGAAGTTTCATGCCATTAAAATTGCATGAACATGGTTAAGTTATGGCATTAGACCCAGTTTATACGTTTTTCTCAGTGGTTTTTATCGACAAATAAGGTTTTGTACGAAATAAACTTATCGCTTGAACGGTTGACACATTTCCAACGGTTTATTCGTCGTTAGTTGAGTTCGTATCTGTGCCATCCTACCGTCCCATTTCATCACCGATACGACGTAAAGAGCATTAAGAATTTTTCGGGTTTCACAAAGTTCGATGGGAAAAAGTCGAATGACAAACGAAGATGTATAGATATAGAGCAAAAAGAGACAAATAGCGAAAAACAAAAACTCGAAATAGCATTAAAAGAAAATAACATGTCAAGTTGATATTTGAACGATATGCTTTGTATTGCTATCATTGTTGTTCATACTCAAGCAAGAGAAGTAGCAGCCAACGAAATTGAATTGCCAGAGCCAAGCGAGTGAACCAGTAAGCGAATGAATGAGTGAGTGATGTTTGTCTTGAACAATCACAATGCCATCAAATTTCGTGTCGAGCAAAACAACATACACAGTCAATACACACATAGAGAAAAAAAGAATGAAAAAAAAGTATTGAAGTGACCTTTTGAACAGCCCTTTTTCGTAAATTGCCACTGTATCCATTGAATCATAATGATTGCGACGACGACATCAATAGCAGCGACCACAACTGCGCTCAAACCAAACCAAACTAAGTCACCATCAATGTCGTTGAGTTCAGTCAACCGTCACCTCAGTCTGAGAACACCTCTTGTTTCCAGCTTGACCTAGACTTTGTCATGACTGAAATGACGAAGGTCAACACCAAGAAAGGTGTAGGACCCGACGGTATTCATCCTTTAATTTTGAAGGAGTGTGCTCCGACGCTTGCTAGCCCGTTGACTAAGATCTTCAATGAGTCGCTTTTATCTGGCATTTTTCCCGACGAGTGGAAACGATCGAGTGTATCAGCCATATTCAAAAAGGGCGCCAGATCGGACATTGAAAACTACAGGTGCATAGCAAAATTACCAACGATCGCTAAATTCTTCGAGCACCTCGTCAACGTAAATTTGCTTGAAACTGTTCGTGATCGCATCTCGCCTAACCAACATGGCTTTATGAAAGGACGATCTACAGCATCAAACCTAACCGAGTTTGTGTACTACGCCCAGAGTGGCCTGAACATGGGAGCTCAAGTTGATGTCCTGTACACGGACTTTACGAAAGCCTTCGATCGAGTTGATCACAGCATTTTGATTCAAAAATTGAGGTCATTCAATCTACCTCAAAATTTGCTGTCATGGCTTAAGTCGTACCTGGAAAATCGCGTTCAATTCGTCAAGCATGGAGCAAGTGAGTCGGACGATTTTACAGCGCCGTCGGGTGTCCCACAGGGGAGCCATCTGGGCCCGACACTGTTCCTGCTATTCATCAATGACATCGTTGATCAAATGCCCCCGAACATCATGATATTACTGTTTGCTGACGATATCAAAATTGCCAAAATCATCAAATCTCAGCAAGATTCGGAGATACTGCAACAAGCCATTGACAAACTTAAGCATTGGTGTGACGTGAATCGGCTGCACCTTAACCTCAATAAATGTGCAGTGCTATCTATATACAAGAAACGTCAGCATTTCCATACAAACTACACCTATGGTGACCATGCCTTCGACAAAGTGACTGAACACAAGGACTTGGGTGTTCTAATTGACAGAAAACTATCATTTGCCAAACACATTGACATGGTCACTTCGAAGGCAACGGCTGCGCTTGGCTTTGTCAAACGCTTCTGCCATGATATCACCGACGTCACCACACTAAAGTCGCTGTATTTTGCATTAGTTCAATCGCACCTCGATTACTGCGCCATGGTATGGCTTCCATTCCACAAAATTCACAGCGACAAAATTGAATCCGTGCAACGCCAATTCACTATGTACGCTCGTCGTGAATACCCATCCGTGCATAACCAATACTCAATCACACCGTACGAGCAGCGATTGTCAGACTTGAACATGATTAGTCTTCGCCGTCGACGTGTCAACGCGTCACTGACTTTCTTCTACGACATCATCAACGGTAATGCTAACTGTCCAACAGTTAGTGACCAAGTCTCACTTAATGATGGGCGTTCATTGAGACACAGCGAACAATTCAAGGTGAATGACAAGCACATGAAGCTGGTGCGAGAAGCTCCAATTCCTCAAATGTGCAAAATGGCGAACATGGTGCCGGAACTGTTCACAGCTGCGACCTCAAAGAAGAATTTTGCATCATCGGTTCGCAGAATGGCGGACACCACTTTTGGATCGCTTTGCAAACTTAAATGACTACCTGGCCGCCTAGTCAACTTCTCATCCAGGTAACCTCATTTTTTGTATATGTTCTCCACGAGAACACCTTGATACTGCCCACATTTATGATGAAATTTCGATTTTCATGTTGCCGTTAAACCTGATCCTGATCTCAAGCGGACAAACTCATCAATGACAACGCATATTGCCCGAATGCCATTTGGGTTACTGCTGATAGAAACAAACAAGAGTAGGGCTGCCCCAGGTACCAACCACCTACGTGGTATTCGACTCATCGCACACGAATCACACAGCAAAATCGATACTAAAAGACTGACGAATTGTTCCCCATACATCTCTTATGTGTATAGAAATGATGATACTTATCTGTGATGTTTACACTTATTATTTATTGTAAATTTTGATTTTGTGCTTTGTTGTAGCCATCCATGAGTTGGCAACTTAATATTCTTATGTCTGAAATCAATTTTGAATTATTCATAATTAGCATCAAATGCTCTAGTTACGCTTCAAATCATAGTCCATGTCAACTCAATGCACTCTGCAATCAACATGGATCTGCCTTTAAGACGTAAAACTTCTCGTCAATTTATCCACCGGTATAAATTGAGCGACGACTTTTGCTGTCCTAGGGTCTCAAATTAAACGCGTAATTAAACGCTTCACATAGCCTTTGTTCCTTTGGAAACGTTTACCAAAGGTTATCATGGACCGTTTGCCATAGACTAATATCAAGCATTTCCATCTTGGTTGTATGACTGTTTTTTCGTTTTCTTGTTCCTAATATTGTGAATACCGCATGATGTATGAAAAGAGCCAGGTTTTTAACGAGGCGAGAACTGATAGTTATGAAAAATTATCGCTACTAAATGTTTATTATTTTAAATATGTAACAGTCTTGCACTCTTTTCCGGCCAAACCTTAATCAAAAACCCACATTATATTCAGCCAGAGCTTGGCGGTGTTTATTAAAAATAAAAATAAAAAATAAATAAAGTTCAAATGGCGACCAATATCGAGGTTCGAAGCTTCCAATGCAAAAGCTCTCCAATTTGTTTTCTATTTGCGTGTTTGTTATACCAGGAGTCACCCTTTCACTTCAACTTCTAAACGTTGTGATTGTGCATGCCACCCAACAATGGTTAAATTGTTCGAAATGAAAGATCTCGCACTTAAATTGCTCATTCATTATATTGGACGTGCCGCTTGCTGGTAGTGAGTGAGTGAGTGAGTTGTATGTGAGTGAGTCGGGGATTTGGTATGCACGGAACGTGTAACGAAACGCATATAATAGAATCAAATGGAACAAACAAATGTTGTTCATAACGCGTGAACAATACTTCGAATACGAACGAACGACCGGGACGAGTCAAGCGACAAGATGAAAAAGAGGAACGAGAGCGAGCGAGCGAGCGAGTGAATTTCGATCGTAAACGCCACCGATGAAATCGGCACAGTAAGAGCACAATATGTGCCGGATTGGAATATATATGGCTTGCAATATCAGATGCGAATAAAAAGAATAAATCTTTCATTTCAGTGGGCTACATTTCGTTCGATGTGTGTGATTCATTCACATGGGCGCATAACATTGTAATAGACACATAAAACAGATCTAACAAACTATCTCTAAATGGCAAAATGCTACATATGTCTTAAAATCCATTTTGAGTAATACAAAAAAGAGCCTCCCCATACCAGTGGATGTGGTGTCTCCCTCTGTTTTTCACCATTCAATCAGAGGTTCTTGTTGTCTGCTCATTGAAATCAAGCAAACTGGCAGAGAAGAGAATGAAAAGAAAGAAGACGAAAAAAATTATTAAACCGTATGCGAAGAGAATTAAATGCTGAGCATTTCCTTTGAACGCTGAATGATGTATTGGGTGTGTGTATACTGTACATTCTACATATGTGCATGTATGTGTGTGTGTGTGGATATGGAATGCACTGCGTTCTCGTCAAACCGTTTGCTCGGATCGCATGATATTTGCAAATATTCTTTGCACACATATAGCAGCAAGGAAAATCGCAAAGAGAAACACCATTTGCCACCAAACTAAACAAGGACCAACAACAATAGGATCGAAACCGGAGGAAAAATGAAAATAAATATCTGTGCGAACGCGCTGAATTGAAACCAACCAGCCAACGAGCCAGAGCAAAGCATTCAGTTTTGGCTGTTTCGAGGCGAGTTAGGGTGTGTGTATGTGCGAGTGTGTTTGAATGCGTGTGTGAGTGTTTAGCTGGTGAACGTATTGTTGAGAGTTTGCCGAGGAAATCCGAACTTTTCATCTTATCATTTTAGATGATTTAGAGAATATAATCCAAAGCAGTTTGTGTATGTTTAATACGATATCGTGTGTATGGTTATGACGTTATAAGAGCCGACGAACTTCGTCTATATCATGCATGGTTCGAGAAACATCTTTTCGTAATTTTCTCGCCCTTTCTCTCTTTTTATCTTTCATTGTGTTCGGCTCAGTTCAAAGTAACTGATTGTGTACTTGAAGTTTGGATTTGAGTTTGAGTTTTTGATTTTTTTTTTTTGGGGGGGTTTTGTTGGTGTTGTTTCTGTTTATTTGAAATAATTAAATCCTTGAGGGTGTGTTGAAGCGAATAGCTCTCTCCCGAAAAAAAATGAAAGATGAAGAAGAAAACGTATACTTGAATCATGTGCCTCATAATAAGCTTTTTTCATAGATTTTATGACGTTCGCCGTTGTACGTGTATGTGTTGGTGTATATTGATACTTGGAAGTGGAAGTAAGCGGTGCGCAAAGATGATTGCGAACATAGAAGCAATGACGAAAAATCGTAAACAAGCCACATTTAAGATGTACATACACGCACAACCGTTCGTTTTATAATCATTTTCCATTTATACTATGCTTTCACTCTCTTTCTACCTCTCTTTCTTCCAGTTTCTGGTCCTTTTTTGTTGTCCTGAGCCCGAAGCACACGCTTGCTCTTACAAAATCTATGGTGTTTATTTTTTATGTTACCCACTTTTATTTTTATACGTTTTACTTACGAATTTCGTCGTCTTATATTTCTCATCGGTAGCGATGGCGGTAGTGGTGGTGGTGGTTGTTGTTGTTTGTGCGATGCGGACAAGAGCTGGCTAGAACTCGCGCTTCGGCATCGGTTTTAGTGTTTTGGCAGTGGCTTTCGTTTCCTTTATGGCACAATCGAATTTATTGCACACCAACGAATACTGACTGTAAATGATTACCGGTCTCGTTTCACTGCCTCGCACTGCCATTTTCATGTGTATTTTATAATACATTTTCGCATCACACGCAGTCCTCGGCCACGCTCATTTCGATCGAGCAATAAACTTTATAGATTTTATCGTTATTCGCTTGCTTCGTGTGTGTGTGTGTGTGTTTTGTATGTGAAAAGAACCCAAAGAACAAAATTCGCATTTCCAATTTCCATTTTTCGGCGGGCCAAACGCCATTGAATGATATACATATACCATATACAATACAGTATTTGTGGTGTCATTTAAATTGTTTGGCTGTTACGTAAATGGCATGGCAAATCATACATTCAGCTATTTTTTTGTATGCCTTTTGTCTTGTTTTGTCTTGTTTTGTTATTGAGTCTCGTCATTTTCGTCGTTTTTTCATTTTGTTATTGGACGAAAATAGAACAAGACGAAAGAGCCGTGCTTGTTGTTTTCGCCCAAAAAATCTAAATGGATTTCAATGATGGCGGTGCTTTTGCGATGGTTATTTTATGTTTTATTGCCTTTTCTGCTGTGCATATATGATGATTTCGCTTCTGGTTTGCTTTCGAAAACATTGTATTTTTCTCCTTTTTGTTTCACTCGCTACTCGGTCGGTGGACTTTATGCGTTGTTGTTTGACAATCCGCTAGGATATGGGAATTTTTCACATAAATAATGTGCATGTCTCTCCTCTCTCTCTCTCTCTCTCTCTCTCTCTCTCTCGTTGTGTGATCGCGACCGCTTCATTCACCATGAATAAAATCGGGCGTATACGCGGATACAAAATCAACTGAAGCATTTCCACACGTTAGCAACAGCGCCAACACAAAGTAAGCAAACAAAAAGGAGAACAGCGTTTGGCTGAAATATTGGCTATAACTCCTACGCATCACAACACATTTTCATTATCAACAGCGAGCGAATAAAAGAAATGAAAGCCGCGGCGCTAATAAACTGTAAAACTGAAGCAACAACAAAGAAATGCTTTGAGTTATCACTCAATCCTCAATCACATTCAACAGCTAACGGTGTATTTCCCTGCCTGGCAACTGGCTACTGTTCAATTATACGGGCGATCACATGACTTTGTTGGTTCTGTACACATTTTCGTCGATTCCACCGTCGCACGCTCTTCCACATCCCGATGACCTAGCCAAATATCTTCAGTATTATTTAAAATTCTTGCTGGCTTGTTATTTTATTGAATGGAGATTGTGTCGTTTGTATTTTGAATGGAGGATAGCTTTAGTTCGGTGTGTGGTAATAAGCGACATAGTATCATGTGGTAAATTTTCATTGTCATTGTCTGTACACGAGATGCGGCTGCTACTGCTTCTGCTTCTGCTTCTGCTGCTGTTCAACAGTCATAACAATTGCATGTTACAGTAACCATCAGTCGTGTACATACCAATCCGAATCGAAAACAAAACGAATGCAATGAATTTGGCTTTGTAACGAACACACTACTATAGCACTCGTTGTGCCATCAACATTTATCGTGCTGTCATTGAAAATTCACAGCCACATCAACATCGAGCTGTTCGAAAAACATATTTTCTGCATTTTATTCGAAATGTGTATGCTTTTTTTTCCTATTTCTCAACATCCCTTATTCGCCTCCGTCGCTTCTCTGTGTGTCGGAATTTTTTTTCGCTCATCTCCTGGCGATGCTGTACATCCATTCAGTGAATGTGCACTTAAATATTTAATAATACGTCCGTTACATAAAATGTCTGTCTTTTCGACGATCATTTAATGCAATATGTATGAAATAATACACTACTATAAATAATATTTTTTTCTGTTGTTATTCGGTCGTGTTCGTTCAATTTCTCATTCTCCTCCATGGCCTCCAATTTTCAGTTTCAATTCAAAGAATATTTTTAAACTGTGCAACGAGTAGAACTTCTCTGCGTTTGACTTCTACAAGACATCATCTTTGTTCATTCGATGAGGGCACGTGTATACACTTGGCAAACTCGAGATAGAGCTTCGGGGTTGGTTTTCATCACAGCTGCGAGCTAAAATCGAAGCAAATCGACGCAATTCGAAATCCTTGCATGTTATTTTAACCGGATAGTTAGTGGTTCTATTTTCATTCCACTTGCAGTATATTTGAAATTTCATTCACTATTTTTTTCGGTGAAATTTTCCGCTTTTTTCTGGTATCGTCATGAAGCAATGTGCTATGAGGTTCAGTTTGGATGTCAAAGCTCCATTATTATTTTCATAAATATTTTTTTTCGCTTGAATTTTTTTTACCCAAGGCATACCGTTTTGATATACGTTCCGAAAGCTTAGAAAGAGAGAAAAATTCAGCTTGGCTTCTGCCCTTTACATTTTGACTGTAGGCATTTCGTATGCCAAAATGCCAAACCATTACGGTGTTCGTACTACGATTCCCTACCATCATCGTCGTTGATATCTTTTCGGGTCGTTCGTATGGTACTTTTCTCACTTATGTTGAATTTTTCTCACTCAGCTCTACGCATTTGCCAGCATCTTTTTTTTCTTTTTCTGCCGAATTTTCGCCTCGATCAAAACCGACGAGAGCGCACAACATGTGGATGGGAAAGTTTTCCTAGCCACATGAAAATATAACGCGATACACAGCAAAAATGTGTATGTATTTGTGTTGGGCGGACTTCTTTACCACCGCCTTTTTCGATGTTTTCTCACAAAATATTTGCCTATCGAAAATGTAATGGTATTTTCCGACTGTACACATATACTCACAAGGGCTGTTGTGTGCCATTCTGCAACTTTGTGGCACACGCACAATATCGATACATCTTACTTTTAATATGCCTATATACGAACGAAACGTTAACTGCTTTTATACACTTGTGTCTTCTCAACGTCGTTTTCGTCTATCGAACTCGGTGTGGCTGTGTGACCGAGCCGTTTTTGTTTTGTGTAGCGGGTGGTATTGGTGGTGGTAGTGATGGAAATGGTGGTACTTCTGCTGACTTTATCGGCACGAATGTGTCTGAGCTCGGGTAAGATTTTGTGGTCTCAGATGTTTTCTATCGTCTAGTTGCTACATATTTATAGACTATATTTCATTTACACAAAACGAATTTTTTTCTCTTTCTCGCTCGCAACGCATTCGCATTTTTTCCATCTTCGGCTGCTCCCGTCTTCACTCTTGTCGACTTGCTTTTTTACTGAGATTGTATTGCCATATATTTTTTGCTGCTCTTTTATTATGCATTATCGTATTTTGATAAGTCCTTGGATTAGGGTAGTAATTTCTTTCCCCCTCCTCTCTCTCTCTCTCTCTCTCTCTCTCTCTCTCTCTCTCTTGTCTCAATTGTATATAACCATTTTTGTCGGTCCCTTGTTTCAATGTCAGGTAAAAGTGCTAAAGCATTGCCGAGACAAGAACGAATATGAAGGATTTGCTACAGCTAATCAATTTAATTTTTTGTCACTCACAAATGATGTCCATTTCGGTATTGTATATGAAACAATATATATATATATATTTAGTCAAGAAAACAAATTCATTTATTGTGTCCTTGATTTATATGGCTTTCACCTGAATGGATGGGAAAGTTATTCAATGTTCAATGGAAATTCGATTTTATAATTTCCATTGAGTATTTATCGTTTGTTACGTCTTACTTTTCCACCTCCTCGTCTTTGTCGTTGTCGTTGTCGTTGTGATTGTCGTCGTCGTCGTTCGTTTCGAATGGTTGTTGTCGACGGCGATGTTGTTTACACCCAGTAGCAAACAAAGGACGTGCACGACTCGGCACCATTCACCATATTTTAAATGAGTTTCGTGGAATTGTTTCGAAATGTCATTAGCGATGCTATACAATGAAGAGCACACACAATCAATGAAAGACGACGAGGAAAAAGAGGCAAGAGAAAAAAAATGGCACTAGAGTTCCAGCATTTGTATGGATATTTTGGAACCTTGATTGACGCAGCCTCCGGATTTAGCATACGTAAATATATTGTGTCAACGTGACAGAGTATCACATTATGTTATTCCGATTATTCTGATATTCTGTTCAAATGTGTGGAGATTTTGTATCGCATACATCTTCTCTCTATCTACCACATACTCTTCTCGCTTCGTCCCTTCCGATTCTTCAATTTACATCTTCCCTTTTTTGCATTAAGCTTGCCAAAGTGATATGATTATGGAAATGGGGATCGGCTGCCATGCAACGCACACACTGTGTACAAAAGAAAAAGAAAAAGCAAACAAAAGACTAACCGACCGAAGAGCGTTCATCCAAATTGAATGGAATGTATTGATTGGATGTTGACGATAAGAAAAACAACGAGAATAAATATATATATCGGAAAAATAATCAATGAGCGGAAAGAAGCATTAGAAATATTTGTGCCTGATTTACCATCGCCTGAATGCGTGAGTGTAATCAATATACCTAATTCCATTTTGAAAGTTTTCTACGAATTTTCCATTCCAAAGAGTGAAAAAAAAGAATTGTTTGACGGGTGCTTAATTTTCGATAAAATATTCACGATTTGGGAAAATTGCGTTGGTGGTTGATGCTGTTTTTATGTGTGTGTGTGTCAAAATGGTAGCCACGCGATCACATCGACTCTTTTTTTTAAATTGTAATGACAATTTTCGTCTAGTCTTTATTCGATAAAGCATTGTTTGACTGAAACGCATAGATGCCGCGATAAATGAATAATGATGAGCTCGAAAAATGTTCTCGCAAACATAATTATGTCGTTCGTTTACGAGATTTGCCTCTTGCCATCCGTTCATTCATGCATTCATCGGCGACAAACAGGTAAAAAGGCTATCGACCCGATTCGGAGTTGTCAAACAAAAACTCGATTCAATAGATTTTTGAAAGCTCGCGGCCAAAAAGGAACAACCCAAATATAATTTCCCAGTGAAGTTCAGTTGGATTTCTATATTTCAGTGAAAAATCGTAGGTTTTATTAATTCAAATCCGATTCGGTTGTTCGATTTTATCGAAAACTTTTTTTCGAATGTGTACATGTACTTGTGCGCCCATTCATCGAGGTTGTTTTTTTTTTCATCATTCATTATTATGCTTACGGCTCAATGCGAAAGCACTGTGTGGCAAAGCAGCCGAAACAATCGCGCAACAAAGCAAATGAATTTTTATTTGTTCATTTAGCAATTTCATTCCATTAGCACGAACAAAATGGAAATTGATTGTTCAGAAATTAATTAAAAAATTTCGTGGCTGAAACGGTTTTTCGCCAACGCGCTTACCCTCGACATCACCGCAGCACCGTCGCCAGTGCGAAGCGACTTTGGTTTTCGTTGTTCGTTTTCGAATTGTTTTGAAAGCCACTTTAAAAGTAAAAATAGAAAAAAGTATTTTCCACCAAAGATACGCAAATTGCATCGTATTTTCCACCGGATCAGCGTTGGCTTTTTTAGTTGTGTTACACGTGCACTGAATAGCAGAACCCATAGCCTGTTACTGTACTTTGACTTTCCGTTTCAAAATGGATACGAGCGAAAGAAAGATAGCGAGTGCTATAAATTGGAAACGAAACGTCGACCAAGAAAATCATCATCATGCCATTATCTCCAACAGTAGCGGCCATCAAAACGCATTTTTTTCCGTCCTTTTTTACTTGCTCAACCAACATGGCATGTACCAAATGGTTTGGTTGGGAGCAAAAGCAGCAACTAGGGCATTCTCATTTAAAATTTTAATTATCACGTGCTGCTATTCCTGGCGGCGTTCTTCAAGAAGACGAGAATGAGAGAGATACTCCATTCGCACGCACACTCATCGCTTCGGAAAGACGGTACAAGAGCCATGCTAAAAAATTCAAATGCAGGTCAACACACGATTGCCATTGCAATATACTCTATGTATATACATACTTTGCCGTTTCGTTCACACGCTCACTCGTCAATTTGACGGGCCTGATGGTTAACATTTTCGGTGTGCCGAGTCCTTCGTTTTTAAATACAATTTCAAACACGAAGATAAATGACAAGAATTTCGGACAAAATTATGTTGACGCGCGCGAGCAAGCGGGCGCCCGATGGCACAAACATCTTGGGTGTGCTCAGATCTGAGTCACATTGAATGAGAGTCAAGCGAAGAAAAGTTTTCTGCGTACTTTTCAGGTTTTCGTTATTCTTTTTTTTTTCTTCTTTCAAAAAG